AGCGAGGCACCCGACGAAGAAACGCTCAACGCAAACCTGGTGGCCCCAACATGTTTCTGCAGGTCGTCAGCCGCGGCCTCCGCGGACTCCAAAACATTGCCATGTTCGTTTTTGCGAAGGGAGAACAGGGCCATTCTTTTTTTATCACAGCGTAGAGCCAACAGGGGCTAAGCCAGTTTCCATTCAATCCTGGGCATAGCTCCAATTCTGGCCATTTTGATTTTTTCCCTTTGAGAGTCGAGGAAGTTGACGTAGTCTGTGTCCACGCGCTCTCGCGGAATGAAAGATGGCGCGCGGCCTTCTGCTTGATGAACTGCGCCGACTTAGCAAGCTGCACGTCGGCGTTGGATTTCCGGGGGGCCAGGAGAAACCCTCGCACGCATGTCGAAAGTCACGCTGGAAGGCTGGATGATTCATGCGCTCGCGGCCCAGCGGGGGGGGGGGGATGTTTGCAAGCGGGGCTTCTTTGGGGCCGCTCCAGAAAAGGAAGCACAGGACAAAAAAGTCATCATGGCCCCGTAAAACGCCCTACCCGCGATCTACTTCAGCGCATGCTAGGTGGGCAGGGGGCGAAGGGGGAGGCGATGATAATGAAGTCAAGGCGCGTGGGCCCAAGTCCCTTGGACGCACGCGCGCCCCCGTCTCCCCGGCAGGTAATGGTGTTGGCGGCGGCGAAACCTTGTTCGATGAACAATCCACGCGTCGCGTCGCCACTCTGGCATTCGTGCTCAACGAAACCCCCGTGCCCCGCGAAAGGGGGCGGCATCGATCCGGTAGAAGTGCCGGCGCCGACAGACGCGATGCCGAAATCCCAGCGCTCGCACAGAGCGCCGAATTCCTTCCAGAACAGGGCGCGGGCCTCGAATGAGCGCTCGCGGCGAGGCGCGCGAGCGACACAGATATTGCACATGGGCCCTGGGGCCGCGCATTCAATCACCATCGCCCTAGGTGATGCGTGAAGATCCAGGATATGCCTCGCTTGAAAGAGCATATATTTGCCTTCTATTTGTCCGTGGGGAAGCGCGAGATCAACCCAGGGGCCCGCCCCGCGGTTGCGCATTTCGTGTCCCGAGGAGAAGGGAAGATGGACCTTTCCCGAGGCCCTTTTGCTTTGTTGCTCGTCTCGGCGCTCCTGGACCCCCACGACGTCAACGCCGAGGTTGCGGCGCTGGTCCCTTGCAACATTGAGTCTGTGAAAATGGGCAGAGCCGCGGATTCCCCTGCGATGCTCTCCCTTGGCAGACTGAGGATTGCAGCCGGCAGCTTTGAGTTGCACTTCTACCTTGACATCGGGCTTCGCAGGCTGCGCGCCCGGCGCGGCGAGGTCCTCGGCGGGCAAAGTGGAGGGCGGCAAAAAGCTTTCCATCGCGGCCGCGCCTTGCTGCCAGCGAAGGGAAGATCGGAGAAGCATTGGGCCCCTGCATCAGGAGCCACCCCCATTGTTGACCGCGGTGAAACTGCTTTGCTTGTATAAGGCCTGGCGATGGGGAGGTGCTGAGGGCCAAGTCTACTCGGGGCGGTGGCTCTCGCCGCGCCATCGGCCAGGACGCCCCGAGCGTGGCCCGCGCGGGCCTTCGCATGTTTCGGGCCCACTTGGGCCCTCGAGGGGACGAAGCGAAAAACTGTCTCGAGGTAGAGGGAGAGCTGCCGATCGCATCCAGGCGCGAACGTTCCCTTGGCCGCCCCCATGGCAAGAAGCAAGTCTGTCGCTATACGTGCTCTGCACATGGGCCTGGCGCTGGCAGGCCAAATTAGCGCATAAATCAAGCCTTGGCACTCAGTCGTAGTGCTAGTGCTTTGCTTGGGGCAAGTGCCCATATTCGGACATCTCATTCTCATCCTGCCCAATAACTGCCGCCGCCCATGCCCCCCCCCCTCCCCCTGGGTAAAGAGCGATCCGTCGGTGTTCAGCCGCAAAGAGTGCCAGTGCCCACTGCTCAAGAGGCACGTCTGGAGGCCCAACTTGGCCTCTGGCTCGAGCAGGCCCGCGCCCTCGAGCTGCCACAGCGCGAGGCGTTCGAGGTGTCGCTCGGGTTCCCCCCGCGAAGCCTCCCTGAGCGGCGCGACAGCAGGGCGTGCAAGACGCTGGGGTCCGAGGTTGGGATGGGGGGGGCGGCGGCGGCCGCGCCGGCGCCGAACCAGCGCCGCCGCCTTGCTGAGGGGGTGCCGGCTGAGTCTGACGGCCCATAGATCGCGCCCCCGCTGCCGAAGGGGGGAGGTCATGCACGGCGCGCGATGTCTCTGCGCCTTGGGGCACAGGGGCCTCGCCCTCGAGACTAGCGCAGATCTCGCGCACATAGCCCCCCCTGTCCTTGAATGACGAAGTCCGCGAAGTGCCTCGAACTGCCCCTATGGAGAACACTACCCTTAGACTTGCATTGGAACAGCTGAGATGCCCCCGCGCTCTCAAGGGCCTTGGAAACCGTGGATTGCACTACGGTGACGGACGACGTGAGAGCAGATGGGAGCACAGGAGCAGCGGATAAAAGAGACGACATAGAGCGCTGACAAAGCCGCTTGTCGAGAGCGACGCAATAAGCTTGATCCGCAGAGGCAAATGAGACACGCCTGGTTTTGCGATCGGGGGCGCTGGATCAATTGCTGCATTCTGTGCCCCCGCAGCAGCCGTGAACTCATTGTGCGCAGGCAAACTCAGCGAATTTCCTATAGATCCTTGTCGATGCTCAGGAGCACGTTGGACTTGTGAGGCGGCGTGCCCCCCGGGCCTCCCTCTGAAGGTCTCGCTCCCGTCTTGATGGAGAAAGCCTGCATCTGATGTGTCAACCCAGTGCGATTCGCTCCCGATAGCGGGTTCGCCGTGATCTCTTGAGATGGCCCAGGTAAGATAATGTCTTCCTTGTAGCTCCCGTTCACCGGCTGCGTCGGGTCGAGGAGCGCCTGCGGCATTGGCAACGTTTGAGCGTCCGAAACCAGCGGCCCCCAGAACTGAGTTGGCCCAGGTGCCCCAGGAACAGCCGTGGCCCCTGCTTGGTGGAGCTTCTGGTCTGCCCCCAGCATGTGCTCCATGATGCCTGTGAATGGCGCCTGATTGAACTCGTCGGCTGCCACGGGCGATGCTGTCTTTTGTGCATGAGCTACTGGGGCCGGGCTGACTGCTCTGGCTGAAGCTGGCGGTGTCGCATTATCCGTAGGAGTCGTCTTTTGACCACTCTGCTGAGGTGGCCCCTGTGGCACAGGTGCTGGCTGCATCTGGCCGGGCCCCTTTTCCAGCTTGCCTTGCAGCGGTGGCCCCACTTTTCCAGCCGAAGAACCTTTCCCGAGGATCGCTGCAATCAAGTATTGTTGGAACATCGTGAACTGTTGTTCCATGGTACCTTGGCGGGACATCACGACCTGGATGGCCGAGGCAATCGCATCCTGCTGCTGTGGGCTGTAGGCGAGCTTCATATTGACACCGATATTGCGAGGCGGCTTCATTGCCCTCGTCGGAAGATAATCCAAGCCCGTGCGACCTCCGCGGCGGGTTCCTAATATCATTCCTTGCAGCAGGTGAACTTGGTGGCGGCTGCGGAGGCGGAGGCGCCTCCCCGTAGTATTCTCCTGTGCCGACTTCTATGGGTGCACGTTGGAGATTCCTGTAGACGCCGTCGTTATACTGCCACTCCTCCTGCTGATGCTGGCCTAAGTCCTGCTCTGCGGCCCTCGCGTCCTGGATCTGCTCCTCTAGCTCGATCTCTATCATTTCGAGTTCCTTTCTTTTCTTGACCGCCTCGCGCAAGGCGAGATCCATTTTGTTGTTTCGGATGCCTCGCATCTGCCAACTGGTCTCCGATGGGCTTGAGCATGATGAGACAACGCGCCAACATTGCAAGCTCCTCTTGCTCTTGCATACCTGGTTTGTTGGAGAGCCTGGCCGCAATTGCCAACTACCAATGTGAACTGTCTCTCCTTGGCGCGCTTTTTGCAGTGAGCCAGCTGATCGCCTTCTTGCGGCGGCTTCCATTTCTTCCATTCGGCATGACTTTCTGTACACATCATCGAATCACATGGCACCTCCTGGATGCAATGGTACGCAGCTATGACGTGGGCAGCGATCTGGCGAGAGCGATTCTGCGACCTCTGGCGACGACGCTGCTGATATCCTTTGCCACACCGACAGAACCAATGCCCAGGCTGCACATGCTTTCCACACCGGCAAACCCATTTTGACGACCTTTTTGTGCCATGCTTCCAGATGCGGTTTTGGGGCTGGCGTGGTGGTCGTCCAACGTCTGCCTTGCTTGGACGATTATCAAGATGAGTCTCGTTTGAGTTCGCCGTAGTCGTTGTCTGCGATGCCACGCGGGCTCTCGAATCCTTTTCGTGATGTGCAGTGAGGATTGGGCCTCGCAGAACGAAATTGTCGCGGCCTCGCGGGCAACGCAAAGGGTTGGCTCGGCAGCGGGCGTGCGACCACCTGAGGTCTTGGAACCCGCCCTCCTCTTTGAGCCAAAATGGCTTGTGCCAGAATGGCTATGGCTCCTCCTCCTCCTCCTCCTCCGCCTCGTCCTCCTCCTCGCCCTCCTCCTCCTTCCCGACCTCCTCCTCCTCCTCCTCCTCCTCCTCCTCCTCCTCCTCCTCCTCCTCCTCCTCTTGTCCTCCCTCCTGCCTCCCCCCTTCCTCTTCCAACCTCCCTCCCTCCTCCTCCGAGGCGGGCGTTTATACATGACCACCGCCTGGAGGGTCAGTTTTCGGAGCCTCGGCAGGCGGTTGATATGGACATATTCGGGCCCCCGGGGGCCGAAGTATACCCATATCCACCGCCCTCTGGGGCACCAGGACGTCGGTTCCCAGGCGGTGGATATGGATAAACCCCCGCCTCGCACCTCCCCCCCTCCCTGCCTCCTCCCCTTCCCTCCCCTTTCGCCCTCCCACTTCCCTCCTCTCCCTCCCCCCTCCCTCCACCTACCCCTCCCTTCTCCTCTTCCTCCTCCCCCTCCATCCATCCCTCCCTCCTCGTCCTGCCTTTACCCTCTCTCCCTCCCCTGCCGCCCCTGCAGGCCGGTGATGAGGCTGCCGGTCGGGGGCAGGGTGGAGGCCATCCCGCATTTCACGGCCAGGCGCGCCCTTCGGCGGATTATTCCCGATCCGGCAGCATGTTCGCGTCGTGGGCACATGTTGGTAAGTTGGCCAGCGTGGGCCTCAAGCGTGCGTGCAAGGAACAAGTCCTTTTCGCGCCCGCAGTGGACGTCAGCGGCGACTTATGGGCCGCTGCTGATGGGGTGAACGCGCGACACTCCTCCCAAATGATTGCCGAACGCGAGCGCATCACGTGCGGCACTTGGTACACCGAGTACTTAGGTGAACACTTTGCGGAGTAAGCGCTGTGCGGTGTTAGTTATGTTTAATGAGCAGTGTAGTGTGAGCCGTGCTGTGAGCAGCGTTGCGTAAACGATGCAGTGTGGGTTATGTTGCGTAGTCTAGGTGGTGTGAGTTGTGTAGATATGTGGTGTGAGCTGTGTTATGTAAACCATGCTGTGTTAGCTAACTATGTTGCCCACCCTGCGCACGGGGCAACCAAAAGGGACCCACTGGTGGACACCAGGCGAAACCTCGGCGGGCCCACCCAGAGCACGGGGCGTCCACGAGCGCCCACCACAAGCCCACGGGCGGGAACGTGGAAAATCCACGGTGGACCCGCCCAATCATTCGAGTGAGCCAGATCAGAACCCGTAAGTGCAAGCGCCGTTTGTGGACACAACAACGACTGAAGGTTTTCTGCCGCTTTCGGCCTCCAGGAGTCTCCCATGGCCTTTGGACCGTCCAACATCGAGATGACAAACTATGTCCCCGTCAATGGGGATTGCACCCCGGGGTGTCTTCCACTCGCCTGCGCCTCGTCGAGGCCATCCGGGGAGCCGGGGGGCCGTCTCGCACGGCCGCCTGGGCCATGATGATTCTTGGTCTTACGCCACACCGCCGACCGCTTGGGGAACGGGCGGTCGTGGCGTGCCGCTTCTGAGGGCCTCTTGGGCACCCTTTGGGGGGTTCTTGGTGCCCTTTTGGGCGCTGCACGGGGGCCTATGGGGGGCCTCTTTGAGTTGTTTGGAGGCCGTCTGTGGCGCTGTGTGTGGGGGGCCCTCTCTGTTTGTTTAGGTGCCTTCTGGGAAGCCTCTGGAACCGTCTGGGGGGATCTTGGGAGCTTCTTGGGCCGTCGTGAAGCGTCGAGGAACCGAAAAGGCGAAAACGCTAACATTTTTCAAAAACGGATTGAACATCAGTGAATGTTGCCTCGTAGGGCACTGACGTCCAGAGCAGCGATTTGGGCGGGATCAGTCGCGTCAGGAGGTGGCCGCGGGGAGACCTCCTGACGGCCCGTTGGGGGCATGATTGGCACATATGCGCGACCGCAGTGTTTGTTATTATAGCAAGTTGTGCGTTCAGATTCGTGTGTTTCTCACCAGCAGAAATCCTGATTCATAGAGTTCTTGAGTTTCCGTTCGTACACTCTGGCATCACAAGATCAATGGTCAGACTGAACCGCGGCCAGGTGCGATGAGCTGCGGCCGAAGATCGAGGAGGCCCGGGCCGCCTACGAGACGCTGGGTGCCACCTCGGGCGCGTTCGTGACGTTCACGTCGCTGGCCGCCGCCGTAGAGGCCCAGCAGGTCGGGAGGCGTCCACGAATCCACCCCGACGATCCTAACTGGGCCATCCTACAGACGGGCCTGATGAGTGCGTCGATCCTGAGGGCAACAAAAGGGTACTCTGGTTGTCCTGTCTATCGCGTCGCATGTCCTCTTCATGTCTGCAGCACGGGTTGCCTTGAGAAGAGTCCTGTGTCCTCTCGTCTCGCGCGCCCCCTGCGATCAACCCCGAGGATCGGTGCAGATGCCTCTTTCTCCAGGCTAGGAGGGCTCATGCACCGATCCTGGGCCCAGGATGGGCTTTGGCCAGGATCGGACGAGGAGGAGGTGAAGAAGGAGGAGGAGGAGGAGGAGGAGGAGAAAGGGGGAGGAGAAGGAGGAGGGGGGGGAATGGGGGGGAGAGGGTAAGAAGAATGGAAAGGGGTGGATGAACGGGATGGGTCAGGGAGAAGGAGCAAAACAAAAACGATGCATCACCGATGTTGCAACACTTTTTTACCAGCCGAAGAGGGGTGCGCCCCGTGGCGACTTAAAGGGAAAGGGGGAAAGCAAAAGGGGAGGGCGGGGGAAAGGGGAAAGCAGCAGCAAGAGCAATCAGTGCAGGGGCGGCCAGCAAGCCGCCGGGCGCGCCCCGGCTTTGCGGGGCGCGCTGCCCGCCGCGCGGCCGGACCCACCGCCGCCGCACGGCGGCCGCGAGCAGCAGCAGCCGCCGCTAGGCGGACCGGAAAGCCGCGCGGGCGGCCAGCAGCGCCGCGGGCCCCTTAGCGTAGCGGGCGGGTCGCCCGCCGCAGCCGCCAGCAGCGCCACCGCCTCCCGAGCCGCCGGGAAGGGGCGCAGCGCGGCGGCCCGCTCCAGCAGCCCAGCCGCCTGGGCTGCCACGGGGAGGCCAGCCAGGCCAGCCGCCTCCCAGAGCGCGGCGGCGACCGCATCGCCGCCGCCGGCAGCCGGTGCCCCGTCGCTGCCTGTCGCCGCCGGCCGCGCCGCGCCGTTCGCGGCTTCCCGCGGCAGCCGCGCGTCAGCCAAACCAATTTCTCCCACCCTGCATGCGTCCTCGGTGGGCTCCCCAGCGCCGAGCGCCCACCCGAGGGCGGCCAGAGATCGGGCCAAGACCGCAGGCGTCTTGGCCCGATCTCCCGCCCCCCCGGGCGCGCGCTAATCGCGGTGGGAGATCGGGCTGATATGTGGATCGTTGTGCCGATGTGTGCCGACTTGTGGATCCCAGCTGGCAGGTCCTTGGGCGGTTGTGGAGGCCCCAAGCGCTCGACTAGTGCGTGCAGTCGCCCCCCTCCCCTCCTTTCCTCCGTCCTCCGCCTCCCTCCCCTCTCGTCTCCTCCTCTCCCAGGGTCGCGGCACGGTGTGCGCCAGGGCGGCCGCTCCCGTGCAGGAAATTGGCGCCCGCGCCGGTTGCAGGCAGGGGTGGGCCATGGATATGCCGCCCGGTCTTGTCGGCCGCTCCCTCCGGAGAGCTGCTGCTCGCTCGCGCTGCCCTCTTTGGTTCGCCGCCTCCACACGGCTTGGTCGTGTGGACTGCTTCATCCAGTATTCAGTCAATTTCACTTTAGTTGCGATTGGGGGCGACTCTTAGCCTTGCTGTCTCACTCCATTGAGACGCTCCCGCACGCAACTTACACTTCAGCGTGCCCGATGTCCGATCCTCTGAGGCTGGGAGGGTTCGGAACTTCACAAGTTTGTCTGGCTGCTTCCTCTGTCCTCTTTCTCTGGTGGTGCATCCGTGGAGTAGCATAGATTCCCACTTTGAGGACATGCGAGTTCGTTTGACCATTTTCCTCAGCTTGCCACTTGCCGCATTCGAGTTTTGCCGCTATATAGCCTCGCAGCCGTACGTGTCCGATGGGTGTTGTCATAGCCCCCATTGAAGGGAAACGCATTGATGTCCACGGTATCGGTCAGAGCAGATGCTGAAATTGGTGGGTGTTTGCGGGGGAAAACAATAGCCCGATTATGAGGAAGAGTCCCCCTCCTTTCTCCTAGCGGCTGCAAGCTTGTATGACGCATGCGTGCCTCGTGAAGGCGAGAATACCATGTTGAACGCGACGTGTGCTCCATCAGTGACATTGTTGCTCAAATTGAAAGCGAACGCGCGCGGCGCTAAGGCGAACGCCCCAGTTCGAAAAATAACCGCCCTCCGTCCACGTAGTTGCTGCACTATGATTCACAGGTGTGCGAGGCGGTAAGGCATCTTTTTTGTACGTATGAGACTTTCGCGTACATTTGGGACGAGTGCGCGCGGCGCCACGGCGAGTGCTTCAGCCTTGGAAGAACCGCCCCCCATCCTTCTTCAAATGCTTGCAGTTATTCAAGACGAATGTGCGGCGCTAGTGCGGGACCCACATCTCGAAAACGGCTCCCACTCCATTTTTGCAGTTATTGCAATTTCGAGCTTCAGAATCACAGATGGTGTGGAAGTTTCTGGCGAAACACCCTGCCCGCCCTATCACATCTTTGGGGGAGGGCGCGGCAGGGATAACTCCTTCATAATGATGAACACGAATGGAAGGAAGGGGGGGAAAAGGAGGGAGGAGTAGGGAGGAAAGATGAGGGAGGATAAGGAGGAGGAGGAGAAGGAGCAGGAGGAGGAGGAGGAGGAGGAGGAGGAGGAGGAGGAGACGAGGAGGAGACGAGGCGGGAGGGAAGAAGGAGGAAGGAGGGTGGATGGTTGGCACCCCCGAGGGGGCCGCGCGGGGGGCGCAGACGTGGAGATGCGGGGCAGCGCCGGACCCCAGGGACATCGTCTGGCCCGCGCTGGTGAAGGACCGATCCGCCGCGGCTCGCGGGGGCATCCTCGTCGGGGTTTGCGCGGCAGTGCTGCTGATCCCCCAGACCCCCCTCGAGTCATGAAAATAAAATGACGACGGGCGATTGTTCCTAATTCTCAGCCGCTGGGGGCCGTTACCGGGCCCCAGGACTGTCAAAGGACAGCTCAGGATGGAAACCCGTCCCAGGGAAGGGGTCCTGGTCCTCTGAAGACCGACGTTATGAAAATTCATGACGTCGGGGGTCTGGGCACGAAGAGGGAAAACCGAAGAAGCATAAAAGTATGGAGATCCGCGCGGACCTCTAGGTTCGGCGGCGCCGGAGGCGCCACAAGGTTGGTCCAGAGCCGATCCGAGAAGTCCGCGCGGAGCTCCGACAGTTTATGTTTGCACAGCTGTTTCTTCTTCTATGATCTGCCTCCTCTTCGCGCCAGCGGTCGCGTTTACGCAGGCGCTGGTCAACCTCGAGGAGCTGGCCACGGAGTACAGCTGGCTGGGTTGGATAGACGACATCCCCGGTGGGATCGTGAGCATTGTGCAGGGGTTCCTGCCCGCCGCCATCCTCGCCATGTACACCGCGGTGGTGGTGCCTATCTTCACGTTCCTGGCCCGGAAGTCGGGCGTGGAACGCGCGAGGGACGTCCATTTGTTGGTCATGTATTACGTGTTCACTTTTTTCCTGATCAACTACTTCGTCGTCGTCACAATATCGGGGTCCCTATTCGGGGAGATAACAGGTATCATCGAGCATCCTGACACGATCATCGAGCTGCTGGGTATATCGGTCCCCTCGGTGGCCACGTTCTTCGTATATCAAACTGCCTGCGGACCCCCCCCCCCACCGTGCCTGTGCAACAGTACAGCAGGAAGGAACATTGGTGTATGAACAGCGCAATTCCGACGCGTGGTCTGACAAGGACGGGTCGTGAGTTCGACCTCGTTTGCGTCTGCTCGATAGGAAGGAGGTCAAGTTGACCCCCAGCGGCAGTTCGGCGAGTGGTCTGAATTGGGGGGGGTCGTGATCTCGACATAGTTTTCGCCCGCGCGGTAGGGAGGAGGAGGAACAGGAGGAGGAGGAGGAAGAGGAGGAGGAGGAGGAGGAGAAGGAGAAGCAGGAGTAGGAGAGGAAGGAAGAGGAAGAGGAAGAGGAGGAGGGGGAGGAGGAGGAGGAGGAGGAGGAGCAGGAGGAGCAGGAGGAGCAGGAGGAGAAGGAGAGGGAGAAAATGAAGACGAGGAGGAAAAGTCGTCTTGGGGCCCTCTTGGGGCCTCCTGGGGCCCTGTGGGAGCATCTTGGGGCGTCTTGGGCCGTCTTTGGGGACTCTTGACCCGTCTGACGCCTTCGGAGGCCGTCTTGGGGGCCCGTTCTCGGCAGTCTTGGTGCCTTGCTGGAGCGCGTCAGGGCAGTCTTGGAGCCCTCTTGGGAGCCCCTCGGGCGATGCCGCATTATGGCCTTATTCGGGGCCTCTTGAGCTGTCTTGGAGTTACCTTGGAAGCCTCATTGAGGCCCCTTTTGCCGTGTTGGGCGGTTGGACACCCAAACACGCGAGAGCCTCGGAATCTGTCAGACACCCCAGGTAAATCAATTGTTGTGGCTACCCCGGATTCTCCAGGAGGGCATCTTGGAGCCCTCTTGGGCCGTCCTGGGGACCTCTTGAGCTGTCTTGAGGCCGTTCTGGGAACCTCTTGAGCCGTCGTGGGCAAAATGCGGTCGTCATGGTGTTATCTTGGCCGCTTAGGCATCTTGGATGGGGCAGGGCAGTCCACAGAGGCCCTGGCCGCCATTCCCCTTGCCCTGATCGTCCGCAGCGGTGGCCCGGTGATCATCTGCGGGGACGATGGCCAGTTCAACCCCACGGTGATCTCTGACAGGGCAGCCGCCCTAGGAGGTATGTCCCTCTCAATTTTGATGCGCTTCCACGACTCGTTTGGAAGGGGTGACGACCACAACGTGTTCCTTCACCACTGCGACCGCATGCACTCCAGCATCCTACAGTGGCCGTCCCACTGCTTTGATGAAGGCAAGCTGGTATCAGAGCTCCCTACTTGTACTACCCAGAAGCCCCTCATACCAGGCACCCCCTGGCGAAAGGCCAAGTCCCGAGACCTGACTGACACCAACGCACCCGGACGAGGAACGCCCGACAGCACGCTCCCCATCGGTGCCGACGGCTTCCACAGCCCAACCCACGGCGCCCCCCGAGGTGACCACATCCGAGCGCTGCTGATCAACGAGAAGTCCGCCGAGCTGCCCACCGACCTAGCAGAGGGCACCGCCAACCTCAGAGAGGCGGCGACGGCCTGCGACATTGTCGGAGCCGTCGAAAGCCACCCTATCTAGCAGAACAAGAGAGTCTAGGCCCTCTGCGGCTACCGGGTCCTGCCTGTTTTCATCCAGAATGGCCGGCCCATCGATCGCTGTCCTACCAGGACAAGGGAGGCAACAAAGGGACAGGCGGTCCCAACACCAACGGCGCCCCTCCCCCATCCTGGGGATCCATTCCCCCACCTTCTCCAAGGTCCACGAAGGGACCAGGAAAAGGGAAAGGAGCGCATAGTGGGCCAGAATTCGCCCGACAAGCACCCGACCCGCTAAACGGAGTAGAACTCCAGTACGCAGGTCAGGAAGAGCGATGTCCCCAGCTCTTCCAGAAAAGGGCCCATCAGCATTGCCACGATCGATAGCAGACAAGGCGACGAAGCGAACCACGTCATCCCGTGCACCGCCCGGTCCGACCCCTACGGCCAATCGGGCTGCATGGGTGACCTCCACAGGATTAACGTCGCCTTTGCCCGTGCCCAAGAAAGGATTGCGGCGCGCATGAACGGACACACGGCCACCACAGCCACAGAGTCCCAGATGCACGCGCTGGCAGACTGGGCCGCTGCTGCAAACCTGTGGACACAGTTCCTCAACCTGCCAGACGCCAGGGGCAGACTGGTCGAGTCCCCAGGCTTCGCTCTCGCCAAAGTCCAGCAGAGCCCCAGAGGCTCCGATGCCCCGACCCACTCCAAGGAGGACCAGGCGAGGATCGTCGCCGAACGCGACAAGCGCGCCGAGGACAAGAGGGACCAGAAGAACTCAGAGCAACGCGCCTTTGGCTTCCAGACCCTCTATGACAGCAGGCCTCCGCGCGGCCACTGCTGGGACAGACTGGCCCATGAGCTCCAGACAGACTGGGCATCCGCGACCTGCGCATGCCCGAGGACAGGCTAGTTCTTTTGCCCAAGGGCCGCATAGGCAATTGTCGCTGGAGAAAAACGGCGCGCCACGCGCCCCCCGGAAACCCCGGGCGCCCACCCGCCGCCGGGAGCCGCGCCACGCGCGAGTGCTTCCGCCGCCAGGGGCGCCCTTCCCACGCCCACCTGAACGCATTGACCCAGCCCCCTGACAATAACATCCGCGTAGTGGATGGCCTGCTGGTAGATCCAAGCGGAGCACCCATCAGCCGACCCCAGGCCAACAATGCGTTCGTCCAGAATTTCGCGCCCACCCGTGAGCCCAGGCCCGCAATGGCACCCAGCAGCAGCCCAGGGCAAGCCGGGGACATCTTAAGGCTGCCTTCGGCCTGCGCGCGCCCTTCGAGAAGGCCCAGCCGGGGGCAGCTCCGGAAAGGCGCGCCGCCTCTTCTCGCCAGACATCCGCAGGCTCCACGGCCGCATTGAGGCGTTCAGCCTCGTCACTGTCGCGCAGCACCGCCCAGTCGTCAGGGGCCCCCAGCAAGGCTCTTCCGGGAGCGAGCTATTTTCCGCTGGCGGATGCGTCGGCGGCGGGGCATCCGATGGCGGGAAGGGCCTCCACGGGCCCCCGCCCGCAGGTGCCGGGCGCCGCGCCGCTGCCGCCCGCTCTGCGGACGGGCGATGAACGGTTCCACGCGGCCGGCCGCGCCCCCGACGTCTGGCGCGGCGGGTGCAAGCGCGGCCGCTACATTGGCCCCCGCGGGTCGGAAGGATGCGCCCGGGCAGACGCCGAAGCCCGCTGGGCTCTGGCAGCCGGCCGCCTGGAATTCTACTAGCAGGGGGCCGCCTGCCAGCGACGCTGCGCCAGTTGCTAACCTAGAGAGGCTGGCGGACATCGCATGCCAGAAAGGACGCAGCTTTCTGCGCCACCCCAGACCTTGATCCGCAGCAGCCGGCCCCAACGAAAGGGCCATTGCCGAAGCCCCCGCCTGCCGAACTGCCCACTCCCCTTTCGGGCGCCCAGGCGCCCCTCCGGCGGCTCCTACTTTCCCGGCGAGGCGCGCCGGGCCCAGCCGCCGCGCGCTGCGCGATACCCGCCAAAACTCATTTGGCACGACAGGTTCGGGGGGAACGCCGGCGCGGGCGGCTTAGGGCCGGGCGCGGCCGTTGCCCCGGCCCCGCCCCGATCCACGAGTGGCCGCGCGGGCGCGCCCCGCAATGCATCTATCTGCCGCCCCGGCGACCCCGGCCCAGGGCCCGCCGCCCGCGGCCCCCCGCCGCTCGAAGATTGTGCCACGCCATTATCCAACAAGGCGTGGCATGCGACGCGGCATCGCGAGCGCCGCCAAGTCGGTCGACCTCCGGAACGCCCGCCCTTCAGATGTCAGGGACATCCCTGTCTGGGGCGGGGCGCGGGCCCACCCCGGCGCTCCGCCCCGACGGTCGCGCCCCCCGCCTCCGCCGCGCAGCCCGCCCCCGGGCCAGCGCGCACCCAGCAGACGCCCCCGCCTGGGGCTGCTCGCGGCCACAGTAGCTAGACGCCTGCGAAGAGCGAAAGGACCCCCCACCAAACCCGCCATAAAGAGCAGGCCCGAGACGGCGCCAAGCACCCGGGGGCAGGGAGCGACAACGCGGGCGCAGCCCGCGCACGCGCTGCCAGCAAACCTGCCCGGCCGCAGACCAGACCCTTCGGCAGCAGGCACCCCCAACCCCGGAACGAGAAGAGGGGCGTTTCCGCGCGGGTGCGACCGTGGCCCAGCAGCGCGTTCTCAGTGTCAGGCAGAGCGCAGGCGCCGGCCCAGCAGCCACCCTCGCAGGCGCGCTCGCAGTGGCCCACGCAACGACAGCAGGTCTCTCGCCCGCCCTCAGCCCAGCGCCAGACGAAGGGGGCGCCGGGACAGCCGCAGCCCGAGCACTTCGGGTAGCACTTCGCCCCCGCGCCGCCAGCAGCCACCGCCTCGTGGACCAGGTCCAGCCAGAGATGCAATACCAGATGTCATTCCCAGCGGGGAGGCAAGGCCCCTCCACCCCGCCCTGCGGCGCGGGCCCCTCCTAGGACGAAAACGTTGCCCCGGCCCAGATTGCTCGCCGCGCGGCCGCCGGCGCCCCCGCCGTTCCCCCGGACCTCGCGCCGCCCCCGCGCCCGGGCCTCGCCGACAGAAACGTCGACCCAATGGAGGCCGACGCGCCGATCTACCCGGGCCGCGAGGGGGGGGGGGGGAGTTCGATAATGCCATCGCGCGCGCCATGAGCCCTGCGCCGCGGCGTCGAACAGGCCAGGCGGGAATGGGCCGACCCCCTACAGAGCCAGCGCTCGCCCCCCCGACAGGCGCCCCTCAGGGCCCAAGGGCCTGAATGGAGGACGCAAGGCTTTCTAGGCATATGCGGCACCACCACCCTCGACAACGGGATATCAGCGGAAATGCAGCGCGACGAAAGACGAGCTGCCCTGGCGCACCTAGCCGCTTACCGCAGAAGGCAAAGGACCCAGCTTGCCGACGACAAGCACCCGTAATTGGCAGATCGCGGGGCGTCCTCCGCGCGAACGACCACCGGCAGGTTCGCGACGTTGGCCGGGGCCCCAACAGGTGCAGCCAGGAGTTCCTCATCGGCCCCCCTGCCGCTCCAGGAGTCCGAGACCAACTGGCCCCGATGCTGCCCGCTGCGGCCCGACCGCGACGTGCAACTCCAGCACTCAGCCCAACCGCGACACAATCAGGGCCAGCCCCCCCCTCCGACAGGATTCAGATTGGAGCTTCGTGCGATGCCCCGCCCGGCGCCGCCCCGGCGGAGGCCAGCAGCTCCGCCGAAAGGGTTCGTCGCGGGAGCCGTTCCCAATTCGCCCTCCGTCGAGGGCCCACCCCGCGCGGCGCCGCGCCCCCCGCCGAGGCCCGCAATGCCCCCGCGCCCCCCCCCGCGCAGCGACATCGATCTCGGCGACTCCTGCGAAACCGAGCCACCCGCCAGTCCCCCCGCGGGCGAGCGCGAACATTCGCTTACCCCTCCGCCCGAGCACCCAGCCCCCACTGCCGTTGCCGGCAGGCGCAGCGGCGTCAGCTCGCGCAGCCCCGGCAACTGCGCAGGCCCAGTGGCGGAAAGGGTAGGGGCAGACGTGCCCGACGGCCAGCGCGCATGCGAGACTCCTTGGACGGCGGAGCAGGAATACCCCAACCAGCAAGCCACCGGCGCGCCCCACTCCCGCGCCGTTGCCGGGGGGGCTGCGTCGCCCAGCGAGTAACCCGACCCCGCCCGTCCACCTCCGCCCCCGCAGCGCCAGGCCCCGCGCGCCGTCGTCGGGCGCGCGCCCCACCGCGAGCCCAACTGCAGGTTCTGCAATTGGCCCCGCTGAGGCATCCGCTGGCACCGCGCTTGGAACTACCAAGACCGCCGGCATGAGACACGGTTGGAAGTCGTCAGCAGGCTGAAGGGGGAGAGGTGCAGAGCCAGGTTCGTCAATGGCTGGAACGCGCTCGATCTGCGACGAGCGGGAACGGCGGCCGGGGCGAGCCACGCACGACCCCCCTCGGGAGGGAGCACATTAACTATGCGAGGATGTTGTGCGCCAGCTGCGCGAGGGGAACCTTTGACGTCCGCCAGCTCTTCAGGGAGCGGAACACCTGGATCGATTGGAACACAGCTTGGGCAAAGCGCGCGCGGCGCATCGAGCAGCTGCGCGCTCGGAGCCCGATGGGGAAAGGCAAACGACGCGCCGACCCCGCCTGGCCCCAATAATGAACACCTCCTGCGCACCACGCCCGCGGGCGCTCCCCGGGCCGCCGCCGGAGCGCGCCTTCGCGCCATCAGCGCTGCATTGAAGGCCCCGCCAGGGCCAGCGACACTACCCTGAGCCACAAGAACCTCTCACACTGGGCAACCCGCCAGGCGACGCGCGGCTCGCCTCGCGCAGCCGCCGCCCCGGCGCCTTCCCACCCTGCGGCGGAGAGCTAGCTGCCTTCCCAACTGCGCCCGCAAGCGCGGTTATCTCTCGCCCACTGACGCGCGCCGGTTAGGCGCTAGACCGAGGCCCGTTCTGCCCGAATGGGATGAGGGCCGCAGGCTTCCACCGAAGCGTCGGCAAGCCGCAGTTTGCCGTCCACCCAGGCGGCGAGGGGCGGCCCCGGCACCCCGGCGGCCAGCCCCGCCCATCTGGGCAAGGGGGCTGACCGCCCGATTTCACCCGCCCCCACCGGCGCAACGCAGGCCAGGGCAAGCGACCACTACGCATACCAGTCCAGCTGCAATCCCCCAGGCACCCCTTGCCCAACGGCCGCCTATAGCGCTCCCCGCGCACGCCCAGCGCTGCCTCTGCGGGCGCCCCCGCTACCAGTCCGCCCTGCGCCCAGCCCCAGCCGACTCCGTCCTCTTCTGAGCTTGTTGCAGTTCCTGCCCGCGCGCCCGCCTGCCCCGCGGCGCGCGGCCCCTCTGCGCCTTTTCCCTTCGCCCCCCCTCTGGCCGACACGCGGCGCGCTGCCCATCCGGCGTCGCGCCGCCCCGCTCTGTGCCTATATTGCTGGGCGCCGGCTTGTTGGCGCCCGGCGCGCGCTCTCTTTGCCTGCTCGGGCTGGCTTGAGCCAAGGCGCGCCCACTACTACTGTCCATCATGACGGTGGCCCCGCCCCTGTCCTCCCGGGCAGAGGGGCCGCCGCTTATGCTTCCACCGTCGCGCGCTTGCTAGGTGCTCACCCCCCTCGCCCGCCGGGGCTGGGGGCGCTGGCCTCGGCCGCAGTCCTGAATGGCCAAGGCCCCAAGGCCCGCCGCGGTCTGCCCAGACGACGGCGGCTGGCCCACCCCCGGCGGCCCACCCAGTCCACCTCGGAAAGGGGGCCGCCCCCCACATTTACGTTGCCGCACACCTGTTGGGTGCCCCCCTAGCCGGGACCCGCCCCCCACGCCCTGTCGGCCCCATTGGGCGACGCCGCCGAACGCAACCAGCCCCCCGAAGGCTGGCTCTCTATGCCCACCTGGGCAGCGGGGGCCCCGCCGGCCAATTGCGGTTGGAGGCCAGCGGTTTGTCGCCGCTCACCCTCAGCGCTGCGCGTGGTGCAGCCCGACGCCGCCGCTGCTTCCCAGCGCTGCCGCCCCGCCTGCTGGGCTTTCTGCAGGCGGGACCCCTCCTCCCTGTTCGTTTCTCCATCCCCGTTCGCTCTCCCCCCCTCGCGCGCCGCCGTGGCGGTGGGTGGTTGCCAGCCGCCGCCGCGCTGGGGCCCGGGTTGGTCTTGCCGCCCGCCGCTTCTGCCGACCAGCATTTTGCTGGGCACGCCCCGCCAGCGACCCCCCTCTGGGGACTCCCCCGATCACATCACACCTTTGACCTGTTAGACTCGTTCTGGCACATGCACTGCGTTCCGCCGCTGCTGGAACCCCGACGCAGCAGCCGCCGCTGTCCCTGCCGGCGGGGCCGGCCGCGCTATTCGTTTCGGGCGTGACCCGTCCCCTTGAGCGGCCGTCGCCTTGCCCCCTCTCCCCCCTCGGCCGTTCGATTTCCCAGCGTTTTGCTTTTGCATTGTGGCACACTTCGCTACACCGGTGCCCCCGTATTAGCTCTTCCGCCAGCGCCGTTACTCTGCCTGGCCGCCGACGCCAAACTATTATCTGGAAGCCGTTTGGGAGGCCATCCTGGCCGTCTGGAGGCCGACAAAAAAATCAGAAAACACATCCAGAAGGGGACTTGTTTCAAGGCACGCATCCCGTCCAATGGGGGTCGGCCCTCGAAAACTTAGACAAACCTCCCAGACAACAGACATATACTGTAACACGTCCATTCCGTGCAGGCACCGTCGCGGATTTTGTGACGTTGAAGGCCCTGGCGATTGCTCCATCGCATTTGTCCCTCATCGGGCCATTGATTGTGAGCCACATCAAGTTGAGGTTCTTTTGCAAAACGGACGCCGAGCGCGAGGAGGCGCTGCTGCCTCCCCACCCCGAGATGGGGGTGAACTACGCATGGGACTTGTTTATATTCACAATATCGATTACGTACGCTGTTGTGGCACCTGTGATCTTGCCGTTCGCGTGTTTATATTTCTTCCTGAGTAGCATCACGGGGAAGTACCTCGCATGCTACGTGTACAGGACCGAGTTCCAGTCCGGGGACGTGTTGATGCTGCCCGGCGTGCAGCTCGCGCTTACGGGGTGCACTCTGGGCCAGCTCGTGGCGTTGTTCGCGTTCGCGCTGAAGCTCGCCTGGGGGCCGCTCATCCTCGCGTCGCCGCTGCCCCTGCTGACGGTGGCTTTCTCCCTCTGGGTCAGGAGAGGCCCAGCGCGGGCGCTGGCGGAGCAGCACTTGCCCGCCGAGGTCGCCAAGGAGTTGGACAGCCAGAGCCCCCTCGACCTAGACTTGCCAGTGAAGCAGCATTATTGGATTCAGCCCACCTATTCCGTGGACCTGGACAACCCAACTGCCGAGCGTTTCCGGTGGGTGGACGTTCCGGGCGAGTCCGGCAGCCCGAAGAGTGCTTGGTGACGGACGGAGACCCCGCCCATGCACGAGGCAGGTATGTTGTGCACGTCGCGTGATCGGGCGTTTTGTTGCGTGTTCGCGTCGGAGTTGTCAGCTGAAATTGGCAGAGCACCAGAATCTGCCTCACTCGTTGATTTTAAGATCAGTCGTCGAGTTGATTTACTTGCCAAGTGACAACTGTCAGTTGCTGAATTCGATGTGGAGCACAAGCCTCGGCGTCGATCGCTCGCGTTGATCAAGCCCCAGACCTGCGCCCCACACACACGAGGATGCGCATGGGAAGGCGACCGACGTTGCAGGCCCAAGTATGTTGTGTGTTCCTTCTTATCTGCACGTTCTGATATGGTTACTCCCGCCTCTGAGAACCGCATGCATTGTAAGCAGGTGATGGAAGGTTCAAGGTGTCGTTAGCATGAGAGCGCAAAGTGATGAGGAGAAGGAGACCGAGCAGGAGAAGCAGAGGGGTGACAGAGGAAGGGGAGGAGAAAGAGGAAGAAGGAGAAGGAGGGCGAGGAGGAGGGCGCCTAAGACAGCTCGGTGTCGAGTGGGAAAGCGATATATCGTTTGATGCGTTGCGTAAATTACTGGGCGGCCGCCGATGCCAGGGATGCTCTTGAATATTTTGCTGCAGAGGCTAAAGGAACTAGTATCGCAGGTGGTTTATCTTGGAGGGACTTGCCGTTTAGAGTTGTGGCTGCAGGTGGTGCGTCGGGTCGTGTGTGTGTGTGTGTGCCAGTACTCCGTCCGGTGCACGGACCTCGTCTTGTGTTTTCACGGTTGTCGACCAGATGTTTTTGTGTGTAGGGCAATGTTTAATAGCAATGCAGCACGTCGACCCGTGTCGACATGCAGTCAAGTAGAGAGTCGATGGTAATTTCTAGGCGCACTAACGGTATTTTGCCGCGGTTGCGGTGGTGGAATAGTTGATCTTATCATGGCGCAAATGACCGCGAGCCTTGGCATTGCACGGGGCGGTGACATGACATATCATTGCCGATCCCACGCGCAAGTTATGGATTTGAGATTTGTAATTTCTCCGGCGCCCTTTCTGGCGACCACGCAAAATTGCCGAGAGGTAGCCCAGTAGAACGGCAGCGAGGATCACATAATGGATGGTACGGCCTATCGCCGCTCGATTTGACGAGACGCTAAACTACACGAGATACGTGGACAAGATCAGAAGATGTGGATGCACAGCGAAGACGCGCGGACGGGTTACCTCAAAGGAGTAGCGGCCATCGACCAGCGTGGGATGATCCGATGGTGATGATGTTGGGCATACATTGTTGTTTCTACCGCGGCCCATGTTCTGACCAGAATTATGACAGCATTTGCACGATGTACTTAAAGCTATAGCTATCTCCTAGTGTGGTTCCAACATATATGCAACGACGATGTTCCAGACACAAGTCGAGAAAGGCAACAACACGCTTGCGAACAGACTGGGCATCTGAGACTGAACTACTCTCAATCCTCTTGACCTAAGCCCAAGTGAACTGCTCGATGCTTGCGGTGAATGTCGACTGGGCGTTAACAGCTAAACGTTTGCATATACGCCACGAGCTCGCAGGTAGTGCTTGACGTTATACGTTGACGTCCCATGCTACGCTATTCTAAGTGGGAACCGTTCTCACACTTGTGTTGACCAGGGTCGCCGATCATACGGACCACGGTTGGTTTGCTCCCCAATATGCCGCGCAGTTGTGGAACAGGGTAGCCGACGGCTTTGTAGAACTGGCAACGCACAGGTTGCACAGATGGACGTGTAGAATACTCTTGCACCACAACGAGACAGCGCAAACTTGAGCATCTTCACGGACGGGCGATCATATGTGTTGTCTGCATCAGATGCATGATGTCTTTGTTCACAAGTTGCGTCATGATCACCAGGTACGGGATGTCCACGTTACCCCATGGAATATCAGTTATCGCGGGTAGGGGGTGGTGATATTTCTTCGAGGCAACGGCATGAAGCGACCCATGCTTGTGCGCCACCACCTCACTAGACGGCCGCAACCACTCTACTCTGGTCGCGGCCGTAGTTTTTTGTTCACATGAGGCACCAAACCCTTCTCCATCCTTCGAATGGTGCGTTAGCCATGAACCCAGGGACGTGGCAGGTCATATGTTCGTCCCCTTCGTCGCAGAACAGGGAAGGAGTAAGAGGACAAGGGAGGAGGACGAGGACGGGAAATAGGGATGATGCGAGGACGAGCAGGATCTGAGGGTGGATGTGCAGAGCAGGAGAAGAAAGTTGACGAGAGGGGAGGCAGACATTCCCATGGAAAAGCAACGCAGCCATTCTTTCCGTTTCTTGATCCCTATTTCCCCCCCTTTCCTACCCAAAGGACCCCCGAGCTCAGTGTTGAGCCAGCTGCGGGCGACGGCAGAGACATCGGATCGCGCAGCGCCCCGCGCGATGGCACCACTGGTGAGCGCAACCAAGCAGCTCTCGCGCAGGAGATCGCCCTCCTCGTCGCCCTCCTCGTCGCCCTCCTCGTCGCCCTCCTCGTCGCCCTCCTCGTCGCCCTCCTCGTCGCCCTCCTCGTCGTGCGCTCGCCTCTCCCTCGCGCTGTGGCGTCTGCCCCCGCCGCCCGCCGCAGACCGCTCTTGGCTCCCCTGCGGCGATCGGCCGCGGCGGCGCTCTCCCCGCCCTCGTCCGCAGCCTCAGCGGTTGGACCCCTGGCAGGTCTGTGGGGCCCCGTTGTCCCCCGCGCGGCGCGGCCGCGCGGCAGTCCAGAGTCACGCGCCTTTCCTCCGCCCCCCGCCATCACCCTCCATCCCCCGAGGAAGATATCACGGCATCAACATAAACGTTGAAAGGTCCGCGCAGACTTCTTGGACCAGCTCCAGGACCCCCCTGGCGGCGCTTCCAGCGCCGCCCCTGGCGCGCTCCGCGCGACAGGCAGGGGGGCCCAGCGCAGATCCAAGAAATCCGCGCGGACAGTCAAAAGTTCATGACAAAGCTGTGTTTTGTTCTTCTACTATTGTTCCTGCCCCCGCCAGCGGTTTCCGGTACCACGGTGGAATGCTGCCATTCGGGGGTGGTCAGGAGCGTGACGACGAGGGGGGGGGATCTCTTGGCGGGGGCTTTGGCATCTCCCTGGATCTCCTGTCCTTGTCCTTCGACACGTCTTTTGGATCCCCGCCTCGTCCGCGCACCTGCCTCGGCCCAGGAGTTTCGCGCCCCTCTCTGCGACGCCCCACCTCCCGTGCGGCCCCGAGCCACGAAGGAGAGGGGTCCCTCCGGAACGGGTATGCAGTCTTGCTTGTCTTTCGAGCAGGGGATCGATTCGGAATTGATATATCCCAAGCTCGATGCTTCTTGTCGAATCCATGGGACATGCTTAGAACTGTCGCCGATCTACGAACATTCAACGTCTTTTGTTGCAGACTCGACGTGGAAGTACATTATGTGGTGCATCACTTCTGCAGTCGATCCCTACTCGATTCCTTGGGCCCTCGACGGGCCCTGGGATTCTCAGAAAACGACTCGTCGTTGGAGAAATTCCTGGGGTCCAGGACACGTCTCTCTCCAGACCCGTTTGCTTCATGCAAGTGGGGATTGGCACTGTTAGAGTTAGCATTCGCTCTCGGATCCGGGGGTCGTCAATGACATGCCTGGCGTCACGCCCGGGTGTTTGTGTACGTTGCAGGCCCCTTGGACTCTCAGGAGTCGATCGGGTTCGAGAAGGTCTGGCAGAAGGATGGGTCGATTGATCGCTCTGGTAGTGTTTTGTTCGTCACGACGTTAGGAACTTCTTGCAAGACGTCAGATATCGGCGTGCCCACGGCCGTCCCTCCAGCATCGCGCCAAGAGATCTGTTTGAAAGCATTCAAGAGATATGTCGGCAAATCCCGTGCGTGAGTATCAATACGCAGGAAGGGCGGTCGAAACAGTACGGGCTCAGGGGGGAGTAGCGCAATTGCGCGGGAAGGGAGAGGGGCAGAGGAGTGGGAAGAGAGCACAGGGAAAGGTTGAAGGAGAGCATGGAGGGCACAGGGATTGCAAGGGTGAGGGGGGGAAGGCAGCGACCCTTCCGGGACGGCCATGACTAGAAGGGTTGCTCTCCATCGGCGTGTTGGGAGAATCGCGCGGGTTCTCCCCACGATGCTTCTTGACCGCGGAGAGGCCGATGCCTTCATCCTCTGCCGTCGATGTCTCCATCCTCCTCTATTCTTTCCTTGCTCTCGCTCCTCCTCCTCCTCCTCCTCCTCCTCCTCCTCCTCCTCCTCCTCCTCCTCATCCCCCCCCTCCCGACAACGACGACAACGACACGACAACGATTACGGCCAAGACGACCACGACGACGATGTCGAATGCGACGACGGCCCCTCTTTGAAGCCGACCTCTGGACCTTGCCTGAAGTACAAGGCAGACCATGATTTCGAGACGGATCCAGCCATAGCGACGATAGGTTCCCCCGAGACACAAAAACGCCTACAGGATTGGATCCTCGACGCTCGACCCAGGATCCTCGACGCTCGATTCTCGATCCTGGGCTTCCAGGCAGCCTCTCGGCGAGGCGCAGCTGATGGAAAGCATCCCAGGGCCCAAAAGCCTGCCAGACTTCCCGAACATATCTTAACATTTCCGACAACCATCAGGGGCAACGTTAGGGTGGGATAGGCTCAGGGGAAGGACACATCGACCTCAAATCACCCATTCATTGCCGATAGGGGCCCGATAACCCAGTCTGCCCAGGAACGCGCGGATTCGCTATCGGGTGCACGACGCCGATCTATTAGCGATGTATCGCTGATTCCAGCTCGATGCTTCCCCCCTGAGCCGGTCCCCCCTCACGTTGCCCCTCAGACCACGACCACGACGACGACCACGACCGCGATCACGATGCTCGCCCATCCGTGGGGAGGTCGATGTCCTGAGGCCCGCCGAAGCCGGCATTCGGCATCAAGGCGCCGTCGGCAGACGCCTGCTGAGGCCCGCCGAAAGGCGCCACGTCCTCGTCGTTATTGTCGTCGTCGTCGTCGTCGTTCTCCAG